AGGGGCTCCCAGACCCTGTTTCCCCAAGGACGTCCGAGGGCCGCCTGAGCTCCTGGGTGCAGTGAGGTCCCAGTGGGTTGGGGGGCGCGGAAGAGGGTGTGGCCTCGGGGGCTGTGTCCGCTCTGCAAACAGCAGGCGCCTGATTAGCGCCACTACGGTTCGGCGGCTCGCGCCCTGCTTCCACGCTCCTTCCGTCCTCTGCGGCCCTACAAGCTCCTGGCTCGGAGTTCAGGGTCCGGGCGAGGTCAGGCCGGGGTCAAATCCCAACTGACTGCTTGGGCGCTCCCACGTTCCGGGGAGAGCCTGGGAGAGGGGCGCTCCAAGCATCGCTCCTGGAAGGTGGGTTTCACTGCCCTCCACACACCCCCTCTCTTCTTTGCCTTTGGTTTTGGTGGTTTGCTTTCAACCTGCGCTTGGCGGTGGGAGGGAGAAGCCTGGGGTCCGGCTGGGCTGCCTGCCCGCCGCCCTCTGCTCGGACTTGCTCGTGGCGGGCCGGGGAGCTGGTTTCCCAGCACCCAGGGTCGAAATGGAGGCAGCTCCAGACAAGCTTCCTGGCCCATGGCTTCCTGGCAGGGGCGACCGCCGGCGGCCAGGATGCCTTCGGCGGGGCGAGTGACCCAGGTTCCGAATGGGAACGCCTACCAGCAGATCTTTGAGGCCCAGGTGAGTGCCTCCCCCAGCTCCCCGCTGCCTCTCCTCCCTCCCCCCACCTTCTCCCTTCTGCCCGGAAATCCAGTGAAACAAGGACGTTGAAATTGCCTTGATTTTAAAACGAATTCTTACAGTTCTTAAAATGTATGGCTATAAAATTAATACCTGTTCTTGAAAATTAGAACATTTAATTTACAATTTAAATGTCTTGTTGTTGTTGTTATGTGCCTTGGAGTCGGACCCGACTCACAGCGACCCCTCCTTGGGTTTCCGAGGAAGTATCACTACGGAAGTAGATTGCCCCATCTTCCTTCCGAGGAGTGGCTGGTGGGTTTGAACCGCCAACCGTCTGGTTAGCAGTCAAGTGCCTTAGGCACTATGCCACCAGAGCTCCCTTTGAATGTTTTACGAGATACCCAGATTAGTTTTTTTGTTTTTAATGCTCTGGCCCTTTTTCCCACGCATAAAAGCATTCCTAATTTTTCTTTAAAAAAGAACAAAAGGGTCCAATTCTTAGTAAACCAGTTGCTGTGGAGTGGATTCCCACTTGCAGCAAATCCGTGTGCGTCACAGGAGAGCTGGGCATTTTCCAAAGTAGGTAACCAGGTCCTCTTTCCCAGGTGCCTCCAATTGGATTTTTGGAGGCTGTAAATCTTTAATAGGTTGTCCCATCTTCCTTCCATGGAGTAGCTGGTGGATTTGAACTGCTGACCTTCCAGTTAGCAGTCAAGTTCCTTATCCACTGTGCCACCTAGTCAGCCCTCTAGCCTTTTACATGCTAACTGCTTTACCCAGAGTCTCCTGATTTTCACTAGAGTTTTGAAACATTTTATTTATTTTTTCAAATTGTGATTCTGGTGAAAGTGTACAAAGCAAATGTTTTCCATTCAGCAGTGCCTACACATTTTGTGAAACCCGCTTTTTCTCCTTAACAGTGTCTTGAGGCCTTGTCCCATGCAATGTACATTCATCTGTGTCTGGTTGCCAAGTTGTTCATTCTAGAACCTTCCCTAGTGTGTTAAAGTAGCATTATGGATGCTCAGTGACCATCTCGGGGGCTGGAGTTGCCTTGTGTCCGTAAAGCACTGTGCAGACAAAGCAAGGATCTTAAAGGAAACAACACCTCAGAACCCTGCACTCCCTGTTTAAAAGGGCTTTTCATCCCTAATTTGAGCCCTGAAAATACTCTTTGTAATGGTTTGGAAACTATAACAAATTATAAAGAAGCACACATGTTACCTGCTCTCATGCCATTCTGAGTCTTTTGGGACATTTTCTTCTGGTCATTTTTCTGTGTTGAAAATTTTGCAGTCATCCTGGATCATTTTGTTTATAATTTTTAATTTATACTTTTACCTTATATATCATATCACCACCTAAGTGTTTCCCCATGTCACATGTAATTCTTTGTAGCTCTCATTTTTTAATGCATTTTATTGAAATAATAATTTATGTAGTGAAATACACAAAACTAAAGTGACATGGGTCAATGCATTTTTTTTCAGCGTTTCCTCCCCTCCCCTCCCACCCCAACAAAGAAAGTTTTCCTCCGTATTTAAACCTTTCCTTGACCCTCCACAGCAATGAACTAACACTGTATTTGACCTTCTGTGATTGACTTATTTCACTCAGTGTAATGTTCTCCAAGTTCATCTGTTATGCAGTGTTTTGCAGACTCTACATTATTCTTTAGAACTGCATAACATTCCATTGTGTGTATGTACCTGCAAAAAGGACAAGGAGGCCACATGTTCTGACCTCCTCTAACCCCACAAGAGGAGGACAGAATCACCATCAATAGCCCAAGGCCTATTCCTGCCAGGCCAGACATGCTGCCT